TGTGTACAATGAAATTAGAGCTCTTAATGATTAAGGGAGATTCATGATACAAAATTATTCAAAGAGTTTTAGAACCATTAAGAAACAGACATTTTTTGCCAAACAAAATTCACCTCTTAACGATTCAGAGGTTGTCTCTTAATGGAATTAATAAGAGGTAAACAAACAACCCCTGAGTAACAATCACACGGGCCAAAATTGTTATTTACTCTTTAAAAAAAATAAGTTACTCTAGAATATTTAATTTGTATACAATTTAATAAGAGTGTAAGATTTCTGAATGATTTTCTAAAAAGATGGATGAAAAACACAATTTAGGCGGAATATGAATAATCAAAAGGGATAGTGCGAAAATTATTTTAAAAAAATGAAAATAAATATTTTATTTATGCCACGTGATCAGAATGATTTGTCATTATTCCACATCACGTTCAAGCCACGTAAGCAAATAAAAGTAATTGTTTTTTTAATGGAAAAATTGCATAAAAATGTTATCAACTATAAACCAATTTCTATTTTAATAAACAAACTTTCAAAACTATCATTTTAGGGTCTGAGACAAACTTTATATTTATTTAAAGTTTCAATTATATGTTCAATAGATGATATGACATAAAATAAAAAACCAAATGTTTACATGGATAATAGAAAAGGTATGTTAGAAAATTTTATAGATTTGTTCCAAGTGCACTTAGAACCCATTCCATCATACCAAAGGGCATTTGGCCTAGCGGTATCGTAGCCCTTGGCCTTCTAGGAGGTCAGGGGTTCAAACCTCACTATAGGTGAGGAGGGTGTGTGAGTTTATCTGTTGCATTTGTCGTATATAAATATTATATACTTCAAAAAAAACCCATTCCATCTTCATAACTCTCCGACAACATCCCATTCTCGCAACCCACGTCATTTCCCACAACATCCCCTCCACTATCCACCATCACTGTAAAGATCACGTTTTCAGACCCTTTTCTACAAAGTTCAAATCACACATTGGTTTCACCTCCGTCCCCATTCCACATTCTCCTAAAAACTACCACTCAACCCTTCATTAAAGATTCAAATTACAGATAGGGGTGAGCATGGGTCGATTGGAGTAGAAAACACAAAACCCGATCGGGTTTCGAGTATGACATATAGCGTGCGAATATCAAAATTGGGTGTGTAGGGTTTCGAGTTTCAGGTTTTGGGCTTTGTCGAGCTTCGAGTTTAATCGGGTCGGACTTCAGGTTTAATCGGGGCAAGGTTCGGGTTGATGCAATATATGACATATTGCATCATGTACATCAACTATTGAAATAGAATCCTCATTGTCACGAGCAAAGCATATTTGCCATTTTTACATATATAAAAGCAAATTAAAAATGATATAAATACACTAATTCAACTATATACTACTATAAGTTGAAAAGGAATACTAAAAATACATAATTACTGTCGTACATTTCTCAAACTTTTCAATATCATCTATGTTTTCTTCAAGTGCAATTGTCTACCTAAGGCCTTTTAGCCAATCTTATGTACATATAAGGACTTCTACTATCTATAAGATACTAGTACTAAAAATTGATTCAAATGCCACACTGGAAATTGGAACAATGATTTCTCTGGCCACTTTTGAAAGGATAGGAAACATTTCACTATTAACCTTCCACTATCTTAAAATATCAACATTGTTTGTATCATCAAGTTCACTCTTTTTGTTGAGTAAGGCCCCACTTTTCATCTTTTGTTTTTTTAATTGACTTTTTAATCTAGCTTGTACCCTTCCAACAGGAACATTCTCACATTGAACGGGTGAGGAGGCATCTCAGTAGTATAAGGTTCAGAATATGTTGACACATAAACTTCAAATAACACATTTAGTTTAGATTTTACCTTCTCAAAACATGACTTACCTTAGTTGTCACCATACGTTTGATTAAGTTGGACTTGTATGTACTCAACCTTGTCTCTGGGGTCCAATATGTTGACAAAAAAGATGATAAAATTCATCTTATATAGATCACCGCAATATTTACTAAACTTCTCTTTCATTTTATCAACCATTGCATGTTCATAAATCAAAAACCCAAAGGTAGTCAGCAACAAAATATAAGTAAATATTACAACTCAAGTTGATTAAAATTAAAGGAAAATAGATATACGTTTTCAATAGCAAACTTAGATAGTAACATATCAGCAAATATGCAACTCAAATAAAAAATCATAGATAAAAAAGAATTGGAGGTGACATAAAGAGAGCCATAAATTCTAATTGTCATCTCATAAAAGGTCTTAAAGATCAGCAAGCTCTCAACATATAACCAATCAAAGTATAAAGGCACAAATTACCTAAACCCAAAGTCAACGAGTTGTCACTACTCTCATATGTTTTAAAAAAACTTTTTTGTAAGTTATTGCAGTTCGAAGCATCATATTTGTGGAGTTCCATTTTGTTTGAAAGGCATCGGCTAAGATACTTATAATAGATGAACTTCCATTTAGGTTTGTTGAAGGGAAGTATTTTAAGGAGTTTGTTGTGACTGCATGCATTAGATTTAAGATCCCCTCTAGATGGATAGTTAATATAGCGATACATTTGGCATATAATTTGAAGAAGACGAATCTTAAGAAATTGTTTAAGTCAAGCACGCAAGGCATCACTTTGACTACCGACACTTGGCATCTGTTTAAAAAATTAATTACATGTGCATCACTGGCTCTTGCACATTTTATTGATGAAGAATGGAAACTGGATAAAAAGTCATCTCATTTGTACCAATATATTCACATAAGGGGAGAATGTACAGCTAAAGCCCTAAAGAGTCGTTTGCTTGAATGGGGAGTCAAAAATATTTATCATCATAATTGACAATGCCTCAAGCAACGATGTTACCATTGGTTCTTGAAAAACATGTTGGTGTCTTGGGTTGTTCCACTAGGGCCAAGTACATACATACAAGACGCATTGCTCACGTTTTGAATTTGGTTGTCTAGGATGTTTGAAATTAGCATATTCATTAGGTAAGAAGATTATGGATTGCATTAAGTGGCTGAGGGGTTCTCCATCTAGGTTGAATAAATTTATAGTAGAGAACTTGGGGAGTTGCTTGAATTGGAAGAGAAAAGTTATTTATGTCTTGATTTTTCAGCTAGATGGAACTCCACCTGTATGATGCTTGAACAACAATAGCTTACAAACAAGTTTTTGAAACGTACGAGAGTAGTGACGACTCATTCTCAAAAGAACCGACACAATACGCCTAATCGATTGGAGTTGCTAAAATTCTGTCCATATTGTTACAAACATACGATTCATGCGGAGATAAAGAAATAGATCGAACCGAGCACCGCCGCCCTTATCTTACAAGGAAAGGGAAAAAATGACATTATATATATATATATATATATATATATATATATATATATAAAACATATTTAACATAGTTAAAGATAATTATAAACAAACCAAATCCTATTTATTTATTCTAATTAGAAATACGGCTGAAATAGGATTTTAGGGAGAAGAAATAAACTAACCAAACCATGGATATAATTGGAGATACCATTGTTTCTGGTACAGAAGTTCCTATAAAAATGGGAAATGCCCTACCTTTGAGTGCGGTTTGAACTATTGATTTACGTAATTGGAAGTAACCAATTAGGTTTACGACGAAACCTAGAATCGATCACTGATCCAATTTGAGTACCTCTACAGGATAGACCTCAACAGAAAACTGAAGAGTAACGGCAGCAAGTGATTGAGTTCAGTAGTTCCTCATATAAAATTATTGACTCTAGAGATATGTGATAATCACCGTTATACATCACTTGGGTTATCGTTTTGGTTGATAAGTTTAATTTTTGGTATAATCATGTGATATGGATGTGATAATCATGTGAGATGGGTGTGATAATCACCGTTATACATCACTTAGGTTATCGTTTTGGTTGATAAGTTAAATTTTTCAGTGTAATCATGTGATATGGGTGTGATAATCATGTGAGATGGGTATGATAATCACCGTTATACATCACTTGGGTTATCGTTTTGGTTAATAAGTTAAATTTTTCGGTGTAATCATGTAATATGGGTGTGATAATCACCGTTATACATCACTTGGGTTATCGTTTTGGTTGATAATTAAAAATTTTGGTGTAATCATGTAATATGGGTGTGATAATCACCGTTATACATCACTTGGGTTATCGTTTTAGTTGATAAGTTAAATTTTTGGTGTGATATGGGTGTGATAATCACCGTTATACATGGGTTATCGTTTTGGTTGATATGTTAAATTTTTGGTGTAATCATATAATATGGGTGTGATATGGAGAAGAAGAAAACTAACAAGAGTAAAACATGGAAACGTGATAGGATAATTATGGTTAATTAAAATAAAATAAAAATTATAAAAATTACTTAATTACATTATTTCCCTTATTAAATTATTTATATATAATAAAAGTTAATTTATTAATTAAAAAAGTTTAAGGTTATTAGATTGTTCTCACGTTCTCATAAATCACAGGGGTTCTCGTTTGAACCTCCACCGTATATATATATATATATATATATATATATATATATATATATAGACGAAAAATCATGTGAGAATAGAAGTTAAGATAAGAAGCCTAAGAAGGGGTCTGGACCCTTATTCACCCCCACCCCATGAATACCGCTTATCACATGAACTGATCCGGTGCATCTCGGTGCACCGCATTAGTGTTGTTCTTCAATTAGAATTGATGTAAGGGCGGATATCCCTTCTTACCCTTCACACCATAACTTCCATCCTCACCGGAACCCAACCCTATATGTGTGTGTATCTTTGTTTTCCCCTTTGACTTCAATTGCAACCTTCCGACAAACACCACCACTTGTATCATTCTTGAAGAACGTATGATGCCTCTTTCTGGGTGACCCAATGCTTGAACTCTAGAGGAAGATCAAACTCTGAATCCATGTCCTAGACAACCAATTAGTACCAACCTTCTATATAATATAACAAAACGCTATCCAAACAGGAACTTGTCATTAAAAAAAATTACAAGGATAAGAATCTAGATTATCTATATCAGATATGGGTCAAATAAGTAAATATCACTTTTTATATACACTAGTGAGTATTATGAAGGTAAAAGAGGAAAAAGAACATATATGAGAAAGAAAAGAATAATCACCAGGTGCCAGTAGCCTTTGAACCATCGTTCACTTTGTCCAAAGTTGCATCATGTTATGCTCCACATTATATTTACATGCTTAGATTTGGAGAGTTCCACCATATTTTTCGCTGACGGACTCCTAGAAATCCATTAAAAAAGGTACTTGTAAGAACAAACAAAAAAGCTCTCAGTGCCAAAAAAATTTACATTTTCCTCAGAAACACATTACCTGAAGGTGTGTAAGGGTTTTGTTGTACACTTGTAATAGAAGTTCCGACTTGCCACTCAATCTGATGCCGAAACCAATGAGATGATGCAGCAATCAAATACAAAAAAAAAAGTATGCAACTGTATATTTCAGATGTGTACCTTCTTAAAAGACGAAAACATGTGTGTATCTCCTCAAGGTCTGATTCAACTTTCAGATCTATATATTGTTTTAGAAACTCATATAAGCAACTAATCTCATCAACGCACTCACCGTTACTTTCACCAATACATACTGCAGAAACACTTCTTAGTAATACTGAAGATAAATTGCACGATGACCCCAATTCACTATACGTCTCTGATAAAAATCTCAATATCTGACCATCACTGGATTTGAATTTCTCAACCCACTGTGGTGGGTTTCCAACCCAGAGCTGGTTGCTTGAACTACAATCCCTTGGTTCAGCCTCGTTATTTGACACGGTTTCCAGATTCCTGTGCGCAGGAAGAACCTCAAGTATGTCATCTCTAATTTCCTCGGGGAGTTGTTGCAACACTGATGCATCTATTTGACTCAAAGATGATGGCATCACACCAACATTTTGTGAAGTTGAAGCAACAGCAGCAACATTATATACTAATTCTGGTCGAAAATGTTCTCTAACCCCTTAAAAAAGCCCACATGTATGTTAGAAACTTAAATTAGGTATAGTCTGCAATAGTAACATGGGTGGGTTCACAATTTACCTTCAGCGTTTCCGGACAAAGTGGATGAAGTGCCAACACCAACATCTTCAAATTTACGTTTTAATATAAAGCCCTTCAATTTTCCACCGTACAAGTCATTCATTTCAGAAAGAATTTCAGGAGGAAGACTCTCAAGAACTTCTAAATCAAGTTCACTCAACGGTGGGACATCTGAACTGCGGTTGGCTTCCCGATTGAACAAATTAGCACTGACAGATGAATTACTTCTTGACGGATAAAGGTGATCACCAATCTGCTCCTTTATGTCTATAATATATACGTCGTCAGCAAGCTTACAGTCTAAGAAGTTAAAAATAGCATTTGTTCATCTGTGGACTATTAAACTAATTGAAATAAGATATCTCAAGAGATCTTAACTGCAGGTGACAGTAGGATAACAGGCATATCGAACTTCTCAAGTATTAGATGACAACACGAACCAAGTCTTTGATCATGATAAAATACGACGACATCTTAATTACATCTCTCCAGGGTCAAGTTTTGATGTTCTCTAACACATTCACAAAGGGAAAAACAACAATACCTTGATTTCTCCTCTCTCTAGATGAACTAGAGACTTCATGTCCTTCTCTAGCAGATGAAAGCCAAGAGCGAATAGAGCTCCTCTCATTCCCTTCAGAATTATCACATGATAAGAAAACACTGAGAATAAACTGAGAGAAAGATAGAGCTATGATTAAATAAAGAAAATTATTTATGACTTTCAACCAACAGTCGAGTCTAAAATGTTCGTTCTGCTTAAGAAGGATGACTCCACCAAAAAGTTAATCCTCAGTCACAAATAAGGTAAAATAGTGTACTCTGCCCATGGCTAAATGCTACTGCATAAATACCTTGCTTAAAATTGTCTGCACTTTCAAGTTTTGTAACCTGCAGGCCAATTCCCCGTATGTCTATGACGTCTGCACAAGAATGATCAGAAGAAATGATACCTATCATAGTTTTCCACAAAATACTAAGATAACAATGATATATACATCACAAAACACCAGTTATCGGGTGAATTGGATGGAACTTATGAAGCTATCTTCAGAAAAATGTTTGCTGAAGAAATGCACCAAACATAAAAATGTATTAACCTAGTTTTTACGACCAAATTAGCTCATTGATTAACCTAGTTTTCCCAAAAGTTATTTCATTATAATAGTTCAGTACTTTTATAAACCTTGCAACTATACTGAATAATGCCCCAGATGCAGCATCCAGTTCTGCAAGTAAAACTTCTCAACGGCAACTGGGAGATCTAGGTTCAAGCTTTCAGCTATTAAATCCTATGTCACACGTCATAGAATAACAGAAGCATCCCAAGAAAATGCAACAGGAAGTTGAAGCTTATACAAATACACCAAGCCATTTTCTAGAGTAACACATTTACATCTCTCTAGCACCATGATCATAAAAGAAGAATAAGTTTGCCAAATTATCTTACCAATATGAAAATGACTGAAGAGTTGTTTAGTTATCCTCTGGAGAACATTCACGTCATCAGTAGCCATTGGAACCTGATGAAACACCATTCACTCAAATGAGAACATCGAAGTCAAATATGCAAAAGATGGGATCAATCAGTAACTACCGTCAATGAATGACTCAGGTTGTCACAGTCCCCACAGCCCATATACTTTACTGGCTCTTCATCAGTCTTTCTCTTCTTAACCTACATGATCATGTTCAAGAGTCATTGTTCTCAAATAAGTGCAAGATAGAAGAATCATTTCTTGTCCCCAAGTTGTGGTTTTACGACGGTTTCATATGTTTTCTATATATCTAAAACACCATACTAGCATCAAGTTTGATTTAATTACAAGAAACCAAAGAGAAATGAGCTATATGTTTTTATGGTCATCATGCAACAAGAATATTAAAGGAACAAACCTTGAGCGTAAAAGTCCGTCCTAGTACTCCACATCCATGTAGACGCAAAGAGACCTCCTTGCAAAGGCTCAGAAGAAAATGTTGGCACTGAAATCAGAAAATGCTAATATTCAGGACCATTTCTTTTTCTATATCAATCCTCTATCAAAAATTAGATAAGCCATTTGACTATGAGTTACTAGACATATTAAATGATCCTTTCGTTTTTCTCAACGTTTTAAGCAATATGCACATCCTTCTGTTGGCATCTGTTCAAAATATTTCTTCTTCTCATAAATCAACTTTCACATATTCAAAATGAGTTCTGCGCAAAGCATATTTACAGACGAATCTGAAATCCCACAAATAAGTACTCCATGTCTCCATCTCATCATAATTCTATTAACATGTAGACTTTAAAGAACTTTGGTGACAGATATGAACTTCAGAAAGAAGGAAGTCTGAACTTTCAGGAAGAAGGAAATTGGCAGAATTGATCTACTAACATCTTTCATGTCTCTGAACCTTACACCCCAATTTACTTCAGCACCTACAGACTTGCTCTCCTGCAAAAAGAAATGACTCAGAAAGCAAGAAATATGTAGATCAACAAGAGCCAGCTTAAATAGAAGAATCAATCTGCATAAACATCTATACCATTATGAATGTGCTCTATATGATTTGCTGAATCATTTACAATCGATGTCCAAGAATACTCCCTCCCCTCCATAACAAGTGCAACATCTCCATTTTGAGATGACACACATTGAAAGCAAAACTACCTGATTTAGCAAGTTCTTCAAGAAAAAGAACTATTCGCCCACATTATTATATCACTAAAAAACATATTTAACAGATTTGGCATACAAGTAGACCATCATCCCCCAGCCCTCTCCAAGAAGAAGAGAGAAAAATATCTGATGAATGATGTCATCCACATTAATAAAGATGTTAGTTAAAAGCCAGGACGCTGCAGAAGACTAGCTGGTCAAAACATTTTAGTGATCATAGAAGTCAGATATTGCAGTAGTTGGGACAGATGAAGTAAATTTGAACTTTTAACGGGAGTAATATTGTGAAGTTGGTAATACGGATGTAAAAGGCTTCAACCAAAGTCCAACATAGATGCACAACATTCTAAATGCCAGCTGAGCTGCCTAGAATGAAGACTAGTTATAGCTTGTCTGACAACAAGGATAAGACAGATGAACAATATACCTCCTACAAGTGAAGATACTGTATTTCAGTTGACCAACCAGTCACGAGTAACCCCCATCTATGTGTTCATTATTAACTAGCCACGCATACATTGAATAAGTTCATGGAATCCTCTTAACCAAATGAGACCACTTTCAACTGCTCCAGTTGTTACAGTGGCATTCACATAGATTTGTGTCGGATTTGGCCATTAGTATGGAAAATTTCAGTGTGTTCACCTCTGTGGTTTCATGGTAATGCAATGTAAATCAGCATAAACAATCCCAAAAGACAAAACAATATATCCGTAGCTAGCCTCAGTGTTACAGGCCCAATGTATCAAGCATCAAGCACCACTTAATTTACTAAGTGGATGGCCTAGTAATATAACCAATAGCCGTTACATTGCTCCAGATGTGTTCAATTATCCTAATAAAAAGATAACCTTCATTCCTACTGTATTGTAAATGACATCTTAAATCGGGGTCTTCTGGCTCAAACTTCATCCTAGTTTTGCTAACGAAGCATCTCGATTGGAAAAGAAACAAGAGAAAGAGAAAGAATTGGAATTGATCGATACACACACACACACACACACACACATATATATATATATATATATATATCATGAAGTAAGCATTAGAATGATTTCATAGTGTACATTTGTAAATTATAAATAAATCAACTTCACTAACCTTGTTCATCATTGTTATATCAAAGAGGTCCTATGAGTATTTTTCAGGCTAATGGCACCCTCAAGGTCTAAGGGTTTAATGACAAAAAAAAAAATTCAACAAATGTAGAATCCAGGGAAACACTAAACATCATGGATGCAAATGGAAATGTTCTGAGACTAACATGAAAAAGTAGACAGTTCATTTGTCTGAAGGATGTGAGATATGCATCTTAACCACGAGGATTTAGCTCGGTGGCAATCCCCTGTGTCAATAAGAAGGGTAGTTCCTCTTACTCCGAGGCTCAATTCCCATTGGGTGCAAAAACTGTTGTGGCCACACCAACCTCCATAGGGAGGGCTTGGCTGTGGCCTAGACCACATGGATTAGTGGCGCCTTAAGGTTCCCGATCCCACTGTCAAGAACACATCCCTTTTGACAGCCACTATGCATTTCAAATCTTATAAAGGAAATTATTAACCAAAAAAGCAATATTACTTGTAATACCTGAATCATGCCAACAAGCCGATTATCCACCCCCCTACAGTAATTCCATAACATCTCACCAGTTTTCTGTCCAAAATCCTTTTGAAGAGATTCCTGAAAAGAGCCAGAAAACGCAAAAAAGTAAACCACCCAAATTACATAGAAGCTACAAATTTAGAATAGGAAATAACAAATGTACATAATTCCAGGCATGGTACAACTTCATAAAAACAAAAACAAAAAACAGTGAGCCAAATTTAGTAATTATATGTTGATGAAATAGGAGAGCCTGGGACATCCAGACTCTGAGTATTTGTGTTTGTATCATGTTCCTAGGTATTTTAAGTAGGATAGCTGCAACACAACTTGAGCATTTCATGGAACATAGTTCATATCTAACATATGCACATCTGGAAACTAGCATACAGGTGATACAATCCACAAATAGACAAGTCACAATATTAAGAGTATCAATCACATGTCCGAAATTACTGGCAGCTGTTAACGAAACATTTTTCACATCAAAGAAGTAATTGAGAGAACATAGAAACCTTGGATATCATCCGCAACTCTCCACAAGTTTTAACATGTCTCCCTTTCAATTTCTCCTCTATTGCACGACCAATACCTGGAAGCGCCTTAATTGGAAGATCCTCTAAAAAATCATTCACCTGAAATAACCACATTAATGGTAGCCCATAATTCATGTTGGGGTTACACCACAGGCATTCGCTCAGTGAATCAAATGAGATGTGCATTTTAAAAGAACAATCAAGGTATTTTAAATTCTTCTTTAAAAACAGAAACCAAACATTATCAATCAACTAGATTTGTACCCATGTGATTATTAATTATGATAAAGTATTATTAAACATCATGTATCTAGAATATATTTATACGTTGGTAGAAAACACCAACTAACTAATAAATAACAAATGTATCTTAGAGCATTTACGAATAAGGACTGATTTTACAGTTCGGATCTCATAGTCGTGATATTGAATGGTGAGATGCCAAATCAACTTACCTTGACGTGACTATCCACAGGAGTAAGGAGTTCAAGTGGATTTAGGAAAAAAAAGATAATCATATACAAAAAAGGCCTCCATGTGAACATATTCATATATATTTTAGGACCTGTGTACAGATATACGTACATATATAATATGACTCCAAGACATCACCCTGAAATCCCAGAAAGTACAATTGACTCATACAAACTTTACACGATACTTCAAGATCAGAAGGGTGAACAACATTGCCTTGCAACTTCATTGCTAGATAATTGTAATTGAAATCCCAGACACTAGAGCTAAACTATTTATAATATGGAAGTGCTGATTTTGGTATAACAAAAAAAAGAGGTTCAGTAAATCTGTCCCCAAGCTCAGTTGAGCAGAAACTGATTCATACAAACCAAAAGAAGGTGTGCAATCATTTAGCAGTTATGGGAGCTCATGCACATCACCAAATAACATAACTCCTCATGAAAGGTTGTATTGCTATTTGACATGTGGCTCCTTGTCATGGTGTGAAAGATATTGACACCATCCTTGACATGTAAGTCATACAACATAGGTTTTCCCTCTAGAATATTATGACATGTTTCAATCATATTAAGAAGATATACAAAGGAAGAAAGCAACAAGCCATGAGAGCACTATGATGCAGGAGAAGCTAAACATAAGTGAGTGGATGTAAAAGAAATTAAAAAACTGCAGGAGGGCAATGTAAAAGAGAACGGTGAACAGGAACCGAGTCGGACATAAGAATTGCGTTCAATTGATAAGAGGAAAGATATTAGGTTGGCAACACACTTGGAGACTCCCAAACAAATGGTACACCAGCAACATGGATGAATTAATAGAAAAATGTTCAAAGAACCACATCCATCAATAACCAAAACAATCTATTGTAAATTCAGTGACTTGCAACAATTTCAAAACAATAACATCCAAAGATGATAAAGATCAGACATACCTTCTCAGGAGGAAGGTAGCACTGACCATCTGGCTTGGCACTTCTTGTAGCTATGCGGGCCATAAGCATATTGCCAGATATTCCAGCACTTGCAGTGCATCCTGTGGTAGCAGATATCTCCTTTCGTATCAATGAAACTAAGAGCTGAGGATCATCCACCTCCATATCGGATATATCTAAAATTGCTTCGTCACAACTCATAGCCTGCATCCAGCAACAATGGTAAGCTTGATACCTATAAGACCAAAATATAAAGCAATCTCAATATCAGACTCTGGAGGTATACCTGCACTTTGTTACAGTGCTTATGCAATATGCTATAGAACTGATCAGCCACCTGAAATGTATTAAATAGGGTATTAAAAACACACCAACCCACTCGATCCACATATTAATAGCAAGGGACCCTAGAAAAAATACCTCCTCGTAAGCTTCAAAGTCATAAGGAATAATAACAAGGTGAGGACAAAGTGCTTTGGCATCTCTAACAAAGATCCCAGCCCTTACTCCTACAAACATACAAGAGACCACTTAGTCCTCATAAGGGCTGGCAGATTACAAGACTAACCAAACAACAATATCAAATCAAGTCTAACCATGAGCTCGAGCAGGGTAGTTGGCTGATGAAATTTCAGAAGTACCACGAGGATTATCAGAATGGCATACGGCAACTGGCTTATCCCACAGTTCAGGGCGATTCCTGATCACAACCGACACAAAAAAACAATCCTGGAAAGCACATTATCATCGTTACATATTTAAAATTCACAAGTGCAAGCCAACGTCCACCTATTCTATATAGCATGATAGTTACCATATTGTATGTAGTTAAATTGACGCATGTGGAACTAACACACACACATATCTATATATATATATATAACAGAAAAATGCTTGCAGTTTATTCCTGGAGACTGCGAATGGGAGAACATATAAAGAAGGTTGGAATTACCATGTCGACATGAATAACTGTATTTCTCTGACATGTAGATGAAGCACTAATGGACCTTGAAGGTCTAAACCCATCAGATGAACTGGGAAAGCGCTTGCGGTACCGATTTCTCCAAGTACCTATGAAGTGCAGTCTAGAGTTCTGTGACACCAAATGTGCAATAAGAATAGCATTATATGTCAACAATTTAACAACAGAAAAGCTTCAAAAAAACGAATCTATAATGTATAGTCATGCTCTTCATTTCTTCTTTTTGTTCCTCTTATTTCCTTTTTTTGCTCAGCAAAACATGGTTATTATGTCTCTTCTGAGGCTTTGGACCCCTCACCTCAAGATTCCTTAGATTTTTCAGCACCAGTAGACCAAAGGCCACGCCACTAAGTATGGTTGTGCACAAAGTACTTCCTAACATACTCCAAATGCTAAATATTTACTATTTGTACTGGATACCTCAACCTAATTAGTTTCACTGCTTAAAAAATTGCAAAAATTTTCCAAATATGACCAACTAATTCTGTACTTCCTATGTTTGTCTAACCAGTTTGACAACCTACCTCTTAGCAAGTGCAAGACAACAAATTTATCCTAAAGCTATCATGAAAGGGATCATAAGAAGCAAAAAGAAAACTGCCAACAATGAAGAAAAGAACATGGAGTTAAGAAGCCTAGAAGAGATCCAAAACAACTAGAATATCGAAGAGTAACATAATGATTGGCAGTAGGAAAAAAACTTAGAAAAAATCAGAAGCAAATCAATAACAAGAATCTGCCTAAAACAACTTCTACATGTTTTCTTGTTAATATTTTGACAAGGGAACATGGGAAGCGTCATTCACTCCCCAATCCAGCACAGTTAAGATCCCTGTCATAGTACTAGAAGTTGTGGAACAGAAACCGATGTGTACTCTCATTTGTGATACTAACTTTGCTTAAAGCTAAACAAAGAATGTGATTAATGAATAGAAAATCACATAAGAAAGTGATTAACAAATAGAAGATACTAAATTTTCAGTGAATTGATTAATAATTACATAACCCTCCTCAGTCCTCACCTTGAAGTAAGTCTCTACAAAATTTGGGTCTACAGTAGTTGAAGGGCCCTTGTTAGAAGATCCCGAAACCATTGACGATGATTTTGTAATATTTTGAAAATCTGAACACCGGCTGCTTCCAGATGCAGAAGGTTGGCAGGGACTAGACTTGGATTCCATTTCTGCAAGGGGCATACCAATTACGACCTCATTTGTTTCAGCAACTTCCTTTTCATAATCATTACTGCAGATTGGTTCCTCAACTTTTGCTTCATCGTAACTATTATGCACATGAGAATCAGATTCCTGATTAGGTAGCTTTATATCTTCTGCAGAATCACTTACTTCAGAAATATTAATATCTGAGGTCATGGCGCCATTTGTAGGATCAACTGGAACCAGGTTGCTTCTCAAAGCTAGGAACGCTGACAGCTTCGGTTGATTATTAGTTTCACTAGCTAGCTGATCAAGTTGGTAAGGAGCCCCTACACACACAAAAGAAGATAATGTTACTTAAAACACTTCATCTTCATCCTTACAAAAGCTCGGAAGCCGAATTATACTCAATAAACTAGTTTTAGATGAAAATTTTATCTAGGAAATAAAGCATATTTAGAAGTACATCAATCACTGAATGAGCATCAACTTTGCAAATATCCTTTTTCAAAGGTTAACATCTCAACACAAAAAAGGCTTCCAAGATAGCATAATTAATAACTCAGACCTCCTTACTCCATATCTTACTTTGATATACACTTAAATCAGCTCCCACAAACAACACCCAACAAGAAGAATCATTGGAAAGTCAAAAGTCATATGCCCTTGTCCAAATATTTTTAGTAGCAATTATGTATAGAAAACCTGTCAACAGTATTGGCACATCTACTAGAGCACTTACAGTCTCTCCAAAATGAAATGACAAGTTCAGCGAAACAGATTCTTCCAGAAATGTCCTAAGCATTTGTTTTTAACATTGTAAGGGAATTTAAAATGTTAAAATAACTATTTGAACTTACAGCTTAACAACTTATCAGCAGCAACAGAATCCAACACCCATGTAGGTTTCACTACTGGGAGCCCATGACTGAAGGACCTATAACATATGTTACAAATTGTAACAACCATTTGTTTTCAAATACTAAAAAGCTAGAGAATAAGCTTAAAGGAGAAAGTGTGGACCTCAAATTCTTAAGTTTGCTGTTGGGTAGATTGCTGCAGATTATATGAGTAACACGCTGCCTTGAAAAGTAATTTTCAAACCGACCTCCATGCTTCAACATGTAACCACGCAACTCCTGAAAGTGTTTCACTGTAATCATACTCAACAATCACCAGAGAACTGGCACATACATACGGTGACAGTAGTCACACTTCCATAAACGGAACAGTAGGCATGAAGAATGRGAAATTAATAATAAAAATACCAAAACAAATGCAAACCTGACTAGAAGGGACAGTGTATCCATCAACAAAAATAGAAACCCCATAAAATAAAGGTTTCTTGGAACCAGAACCACCATGAGACGAGCTAGAAGCTTCAGCATCAAATTGTTCATGTAGTTTCTTGTTCTTCACTGCCATGTAACTAAAGCCAAATAAACCTTAACATACTGGAYGAATAAATATGAAACAACTATTGGAGATAAGCATCAACAAAGTTTATGATACTCTATAAATAGATATACCCAATCAAAAAAAATTAAATTTTTGTAACCTAACAGCATAATAAGGAAAGCCAGAATGGTTGATTTTCCATAAATAAGTCAAATATTGGGTCAATTTTATCTTCAAAATCCCTCCCATCAGGGCAAGAACCTATACACCTTCCAAGATTCTAATTTCCRGACAGTAGACARTAAGTTACAACAACAAAAATAATCCATAACGACGAAACAGTATAAAGAAAATCACTTGCAACAAGCGTAGTTTTGTGTGTAAGAGGAGGTGAGAAAGGACCTGCCAAAATCGGTGAAGGGTGAACTACGAAATGAAGAACGAGAAGAAGATCGAGAATTAGAACCCYAAACCATGCCTAGGGTTTTTTGTCCACTGCCTCCCTCTCCCTTCTTCTTCTTCTTGTTGTTGTTGTTGTTATAATCGTTACCGCCAGTCTTGTTACTATTTGTTGAATTGAAGCTTCTCTTCGAATTGGAACCTGATTTGGCAGAATCCAAACTCATCTTTTTTGGCGCGAAAGACTCGCAGCAGGACACCGTTTGTTTGGTGATCGAATTAGAGACTGATCTCCCTATGTTTCAATTTCAGTTGAGTCGGTGCAACTTAATAAAATCAAATTTTACATAAATGGTCCCTCAAGTATCGTAGTTATACCCAACCAACCCCAGAAAATGGCCTTAAATCCTCCTAATTAGCTTGAAATCAGACTTGGATGGCAACGAGACAAGTATTGGGGTCTGTAATAATACATCCCTCGATCTTGACCTTGACCCCAATTTAAGTTTTCACGTCCCCGACCCTTGCCTCGACGTCGTGTTTATGGACAAAGCAGCCTCTTACCCTCTTAAACTCACCCTGTTCGGTTTGTTAGAAAAGCAAGATTGACAACTGCCCGATTAAGATTAACAAACGGACATAAAAAAATATTGAAACATATCTGTTTGCCCCTTTTTTATTTTCATGGATACTGAATACACTCCTACACCCTAGTTTAATCATTTCTTTTTTGTCTTTTTTACCTTTTGTCTCTTTTTGCTTTTATTTAATTGTATTAAATTATTATTAATGTAAAAAAATAGTTTTTTTATACTTATTGTATCATTATGAAAATGATAAAAATATAACATAAAATATTTTATTAATACATTGAGTGTTTTTTTGTCTTTTTTCTTATATATAATTATTATTCTATAAATAATAATAAATATAAATATATAAAGAATATAATCAATATATTAAAATCTAAAGATAGAAGATAACTTTCAAATTGAATAAGGAGGAAGAAAAAATGGGCTAGAAAAATGATAAACATTAATTCGAAAATATATGAAATAACTTTCAAAATTGAGAGTTATGAGGTTTAAAATACAAAAAGTATAAACCAATCTCAACCTTTCATATAGTCAAAATGAATATATGGTTTCATAAATATCTCAATTGTTTTCTAATGTAAAGTGTTGATTACACGCAATGAATTCTAATCATCTTCCATAAATATCTAAATCCATAAGGTCAAAAAGTAGCGGAAGGTCTCAGGTTCAAATCAAAGGAGAAATAAAAATCCCCTTGTGACTCGGAAGTTCAAATGCGGTGACTCCGGACTATCAGCAAAGCAGGTGGTTGCCCTATAATTAGTCGACTCGCATAGCAGGTTGGATATCCAGGTTAATATATATATATATATATATATATATATATATATATCTAAATCATTGTAAATGATTCATTAACATTTCTATAAATATTTCAATCGATTGACTTGTTTTTAAAATCTCACCTATATCTATATGCATAGAGGGGAATTTCAAACGAGAACATCAACTAAATAAAACAACAAAAAATGGTCTAATAAGGTGGAAAATCACATATTATTTTACACTACGGTCAACACAAGAGTGTACAGACGACATGGTCGGTGACCTCAGGTCACAACCAAAGTCATATGAATCACATGTGATTCTACAAATGATTTTAATGTAAAATCATATGTGATTCGACCGTATCAAAGGATATCAGTCTATCATATATATATATATATATATATATATATCAAGTCTTTTGAACAAAAAACAATTATGTAAGACCCGACCCGTGGCAAGCTTAATCTTCAAATAATTAATCACGTTTGAAGAGAAATCAGTGCAAATCTAATGGTTGACTATTAAATCTTTGACTTATATATCCGAGACTTCACAAAAAAAGACCATGGTCAAAGGCACCATATTAATTTCCTACCCAAAAAAAAAAGATAATCTACATTTATAGTGTCTGATTTTCTTGTAGGCTGCCATTGTAGTATGCAAAAGGTGGTTCAGTTTTATTGAGCCAGGTGCAGTGGTGGACGATTAACCATCGCAGGGGACCAGAGATCAGCACCGTTGCTTTCTGCCACATGAAGGGTGCACTCCACTGGGACCAGACATAACCCCCTGCTCCCCAGATCCTTCTTCCCTTCCCCTTCCTGTCCATATCACCATATTCAATGACTTTCTTGTACTCTATCTACTTCAAAAAGAATTCAACTCCACCGGGTGGGATCCACCGATGAATTACGAGCGGTGGTTAGAAGGATACTTACAATGTGTGCCGACGCGGGACGCTGCAAATACGGCGAGCACAAGACCTGCACCTGTTCTTGAAGGAATTTGATGTATCCAAACGCTTCATGTAGTACCGATGCAGTGTCCGTCTGTAATTAATGCATCTAATTCTTAGTACATCATCTCTCGGATACGTTACTTTCTTTGAGAAACTGCATTTCTTTCCGGCTCGTGTTAGCTTGTCACTACAGCCTACAAGTGTTGACGGTGCAGTGTGGTGTGTTGTTTATAAGCAAACTGTAAAATGCAGTGCGGTGCGGTTTGGATTCGTAAATGAGTCATGATTTTGTATGATGTTTTTGTCACTTTTTTTTTGGGAATTTCACCCCTTATCAATATCAATTATTATTTATTACGATTAATTATTAATAAATAAAAATTAATTACTACTAATAATAATTGATTTTACTTTTAATTTTAATTATACACTAATGATAATCATCAATCATTTAGGATTATTATTTATGGTATCAATTGTTTTTATATTATTATCACTTTTAATTATTATTCAATATATTTAGTTATCAAAAAAACAAATTTAACATTCTAAATAATGTCCACGTAAATTGCTTAAAATATTAAATACTTTTTTTGTGTTAAATATTTTAATAAAAAAATTAATTTAATTATTAAATTATAGTTTTTGAAAAAATACTAATTAATTACTATATGTGAAGTTGATCAATTTGATTTTTATTCATATTAAATATCATGATTATTTAAAATCATAAACTAATATGGATTTTTTTTTCTAAAATTTATTTTAACAAATCGAAAATTTATAATATATGTAATMATAAATTTAAAATTCTTCAATTAACATACTATATTATTTTTTTTACTTTAGTATTAATATATTATATTATTAAATATTTCTTTTAATTTATTATAAAATATTGCAATTGACTAATTTTTCATGTTGATTTTTTGATTAAAATGACATGCTTATTAGCTAATTTTTATCAAACATGATTTATTTATCAGCTATCAACTGACTTATTATATAGTTTGTCAAATATAGCCTGTCTTTTATAACTCCTGGTCATTTGTGCCGGTTTTATGGAATTGTCTAAATTACTTTTACAATAAACCGGAGAGAGCTTCGTTTAAGGACATGAATGAACGTAGATAGAGGACAGAGTTAGAGTGACTCGTTAAAGACAAAAGAAGAAGTAATCAATCATTAGCAGTTATGTTAGCCGACAAAAAACATATGAGTTAACTATAAGAATCACTATTTTTTTAGGACAACATGATGACAACTTTTTGAAAATACTCAAACAACAATGTTCTAAATAACAACTACGACAAAATAGAGTTGAGTTCCGATGAGAAGAAGAGTTAGGTGAAAAGGTAAGAAGAAATCTCTACCCTTAGATGCACATTAGGATGAGATGCACTTGATCAATCTCGTATCAAGAGCGATTCATAGTTGTGTTTGAGATTAAAGATGATCAAGAGTCTAGATCATTTCTTACGTTTCTCATGTTAACTCTCATTCTTACACAATGTTTCACCTACTAAAGTAAATGTATTTATATGTACATATAATGATCACCATAATTAAAACACAATCATGGAAATATATTATAAAAACCACTATAAGCAAAATCACAAAATTAATATATATATATATATATATATATATACTTGGAATCATGTGAGACCAAAAGTTTTTCGTGAAACACGTAAGACTAATTATCAACCTTTGGATTAGATCTACAATCTGGATTATATATATTATTTTTGATGGTTAAATTAATAATCCTTATTAAAAAGAGGACCCACTGATAAAGTTCACAGTATGAAAATGAAATGTTTCATATCATGTCATCATGAAAACACTTAGTTGATTTTCCCGCGAACTGCTTTCTTTCCCCACAAATTTCGTACATCCAACATTTATCATAATTTTCCTAAAATCAAAACAATTAAATATATATATATATATATATATATATATATATTAAAATATATATTTTTTTCTTTTTCTTTTTATTGTTTTGATTTTAAAAACTCTAAGTTTAAAAAAAATTCAATATATATATTTTAATATATTTTAAAAACTATAAGTTTAAAAAGAAATTAAAACTTAATGGGTAATGAGGAAAATGATTTTCACGGATGATAAAACCATAGAATATTTAATATATAATATACGTTGGAATCTCTAAAATAAAAAATATGTATTTGAATGTAATTTTATTCATGAACTTTTTAATTTGTATTTTAAAAAAATATAGAGAATTTGTTGAAAATACTCCTGTACACATATATAACTAATATTTAGGAAAATAAATTAAAATTTAAGTTAATTATAATGATAAAAAAAAATTAGGGAATATTTTAAAGGGGGTTGTTATTGGTATCATCTTATTCATATAGACCTAATTCTACCTCACACGTTAAAGGGTGTTTGAGATTGTTTATTTGAAATAACTAATGATTTTTTTTATAGAAGTGTTTATCAACTTATTATAAGTTAGAATGATTTAACTTTTTCAAAAACTATTTATTACCGGTATGAACTGTTTATCCAAACACTCAAATATGCTTATTACCGGTGCCACACCGAAATAATACAATAAGTTGTTTTTATAAGCAATCCCAAACACAAAGAGATGAATAGAATTCATCGATTCCAATTGATATATCTAATCAAAATTAATGTTTCACAAATAAATAAAGAAATAGTTGATAAGATTCAACACTTTCCTCTTCATCCAAAGAAAAACCATCACTCTAAAAAATGTTTGACTTCTGGTCAAACCAAAAGATGTTTTGTAAATGAGAAATCAATTTGATAAAAATTAAAATATTTGACTTCTGGTCAAAGTAGACATTTGACGATTTTTCCAAAGTCACTCAAACATCCATACTGTGGGGTCTGAACTTATCCCAAACCCCAATTACACACACATTCTCATGACAGTAATATAAAATTAAAACCATTAATTTCATTTATCGAAATTAAATATAATTATTAAATATAATATAATATAATTATTTATTTTTATTAATTTACCTTGCCATAAGGTGACACCATCTGTTGCAGTGCTGCAATTCTTTCTCCAAGCTTCTCCTTCTTCACCTGTGATTTCCAAAATAAAATTTAATAAAAAATTAAAAGATAAAATAAAGATTCAGAGAGAAGCCAACAACTGAAACGAATGCTGTATGTCGATTCTTTTAAGCAAATGGGAATTGGTGGTGAAAAGTCAGACCTTTGCATGGCTGGCCGGAGGTGTGTTTTCGGCCCTCGTTTTTTTATAGTTCCGGCGGGTAGTCGTCATCGGGGTGGTGGTGGTGGTGGCGCCGGTGGTGGTGAAACTAACTGGAAGTACAACCGGCTGAAAATAATCGCACCTGATCATATTTCTTTTCATCTGTGATAAAAAGACAAAAGAAAAGTGAGAAAAGAAACAAACGAATCAGCAACTACAAGCCCTTAATTTGTCCTTTTATAAATATAAGATTTACGTTACAAGACAAGAATAAAAAGGCAATGAGACTGACATTAGAATTAGATGATAAAGAGGTGGTGGTGGTGCTGTTGGTGGTAGACGACGGCGACGATGAGTTATTGTTATCGTCGGTGGTGGTTGTGGAGGAATTCTGAGGAGTTAATGAAACAGCAGAGATGTCATTGGTATAATCTCCGCCGAAGCACAGCATTTTAGGTGGCTTTTGATCGGCAGAAAAGGTGAAGCGACGACTGGAACCGACGGCGGTGGTGTTATCAGGCTGGTGGTGGCGGTGGCGGTGGCGATGATCAGTAATAGCGTCATCGACTTCGACGTCTGAAAAGAGGAGCCGGGAAAAGCTTCCTCCGGCGAGTGGGTCAATGGCCGCAGCCTCGTTTTGCGGCATTTTTGAGACCACACCACCGACTGATAGGTTCGAGAGATAGAGAGGGTTTTTGAGGGTGAAAAATAAAGACAGGTAAAAGAAGGGTCTTTTTATATGCTAAAACAGTAAAAGGTAGTGGAAAGAAATAAATTCAATAAAAATATTTATTACAAATAAGGTAATTTTAGTAAATACAATACATATATATACACACACACACTAGAAGGGTACTCGTGTAATGCAGTGAGATATATCTCGATTTTAATGTTTTATTTTATTCTGTCTCTGTCGATGCTATAATACGATTTTATATGGTACCAAAAAAAGGGTAATGTTTTTGTTTTTTTTTTTTTTTTGAATAAAATATAAATTCGAAGATATCATAAAATTTTGAAAAAATATATATATATTTTTATATCGAATTAAATATTTAAAATTTCTTATTTTTTGTATCATTCTTTAATTATATTTTTTTATTGTAATTTAATTTAGATTTAATGATGAAGACATTTATTTTTAGTTTAATAATATAATTCTTTTATAAAGATAATATTTAGTATTTTGAATTTAATGATTATCTTAAATATATTTTAAAATTTTATATTTAAAATGAGATATTTATCCAGAATTTGATTATGTTTATCTGTAGTTAGTTACACAAATTCAAACATGAAGCTTTAATAAGTTGTACATACGGACAATTTACTTGTAATCTTAAATTTTAAGTAATATGCATCAATAAACAATATTTAATGCATAAAAAATAATTTTAAGAGTTTTTATCAAATGCTTTATAATATAATGTGTGTGTGTGTGTATATATATATAGTTAGGACGATATTCAAATAAGAATTACAAAAAAATTAAAATCTATGAGAATCAATATAAAAATATCTTTTATATTATTTTTTATTAAAAGTTATGAGCTAACATATTGCTTCACATATGCTTGTTTTCACATTACAAAAAAATTGCATGTAAAACTTTTTTTTGATTTACTCAATAAAACGAAAAATACACATGAAAAATATTCATATGGTGAAACAAATACATGTAAAACTATCACATTATGAAACAAATATATGTGAATCAATGTCTTAAATTTTAGCATTAGATGTAAAAAATCATATAAAAATTTATTTTTAAATCGATTCTCATAGGGGTTTGTTTTTTGTAGTTCTCATTTAATTTAATCCCTATATATAT